TTTTTGAAATTTCAAATTTTTAATATTTAAATTTTAAAAATTCAAAAATTCAAAAATCTAAAATTTAAAATTAAAAACTTTAAAAATTTACCAACTGTAAGCTAAGCTCTACCAAATGATTTCTTGTGATCCAATCAAGGTGACTAACGATAGTTTATTCTACAATTATAGTCAAAAATTTTACATAATTATTTAAGAAAACTTATCAGTCTCTTACAAACTTACGATATCAAGAGCTAAATATATTTAAATGCACTTATATTGTCACGATGAAACTAGTGTTAGATTATCACGATGACAGACTTGATGACGGATTTAATATAATTTATCGGATTTTGTGATACATAATAAATAGATTTAGTAATGAACTATAATAAATGATATCGATATAATTACAATATATAAATAAAGCGAAAAAAATAATAATCGTTCGCTATCGTTTGGTTATCATTATCGCGAGATACTAAAATTCATTACGGTTTCTATCGTTATATTATTATATTATTATATATTATTATATTATTATATATTATTATATTATTATTTCATTAGCAAACGCTATTTACCATGGTTGTACATTTATTATTAAAATTTGCTTATTTTGGTATATATATATAGTTATCAAAATGAGTAGGTCATTATCAACAGAAATGAATACACCAGCTATACTTATAGTTGGAAAAACAGGTATTCATTTGTATCATGATTTTTTATTTCTATTACAGTATTTCATTTTTTTTAGTTAATATTGATTTAATAATTGTTAGGTGCTGGAAGAAGCACATTGGGAAACTATTTATTAAATCTTTCTGGAGAAGAAAATCCATTCTTTGATGTTTCAGATAGTTTTGTAAGTATGTTGAAAATAGTTATTAAATCTGAATTAAAATTTTAAATTTGTTGTTTAGTTGAACCTTTTAATTTTCAGGATTCAACTACAAAATTATCTAAATTTGCATTTATTGAAATAAATGATAAACCTTATAATGTTGTTGATACACCAGGAATTTTTGATACAGATGATGTCAATGATGCAACCACGAAAGAAATCATACGTATGATGGTACATTGTTCTTCTGGAATAAAGGCCATATTATTCGTATTTGGCGAGTTTATTATACTTATGATAGAGTCAAGAATTACTTTACATACAAAATTAAAGTTTGAATTAATCATTTACAGAAGCGAAACGACTTACTAAAGAACAAAATGATGTAATTGATGGAATAATTACACTTTTCGGAAAGAAATCACTACAATACATGGTTGCGGTATTTTCTAATTGTAATGCAAAACAAACTAAAGATATTGATCAATTTAAAAACTCCTGGAACGAAGAAATTCGTGCATTTGTTAACTCCATAGGCTCTCGGTGGGCCATTTCTCCGAATTCTGATATTTTTCCATCTGATCACCCAGTACATCAATCGCATATTAATAAATTGCGAGATATCATTGATAAAATAGATGGAGTATTAACAAATGATATTATTGATGAGATTCGAAAAGAACGAGAGGATGCTGTGCGAAGCGCGAAAGGGGCAGAAAAAAAACGACAAATAGAATATGAGATATTAAAAAAGATAGCAGAAGAAGTAGAAGAAAAACGACAAATAGAATATGAGACATTAAAAAAGATAGCAGAAGAAGTAGCTGAAAGATTGGCATATTTAGAGAAGAAGGCAAAAGATGATGAAAAAGAAATGAAAGTCATTAGATGTATGATGGCAGATTCTATCAAACTACTTAAATCGAAAAGTTGTTTCTGGCTAGGAACACGGATCATGCTTGCATCTGGAAGAATTATTCAAATGTCTGAACTCAAAGTTGGAGATAAAGTATTATCGAATATTAGAAATGGTATTGCTGAATTTTCAGAAGTTTATCTTATTGCTCACATTGGTAAACTCGATCATAAAGCCAAGTTTGCTAAAATTAGTTTCACCAAACCAGATGGTTATAAAGGTATTTTATATATATTTACTAATGACAGAATTAACAATTAAATTAATGTTTAACGTATTCCTTTTTTACTTTTATTTTTATTATTTATTATTATCTGTTATATTATTATTATTATATTTTATTTTAGGTCAATTAATGCTAACAACTACTCATTACGTCTTCCGTGAAGATTTATCGATAGTATTCGCCAAAAATCTGCAGCCAGGAAAAACCAAAATATTAATATTAGATAATAAAAATAAATTAACACCAGTTCTTGTAGATGATGTTACAAACGTTAGTTAAACTAATTTTATTATACGTATATTAGTATTGGTATGTTTTTTCTAAATTATTGTTTATTTGACCTACGTTAATTTTTTTTTTAGGAATGGCATGATCGATATATTAGTTTTTACACACGAGATGGTACAGTAATTGCTGATGGAGTATTATGCTCGTGTTACGAACATTGCCCACCATCTCAAATGATCATGGATTTGGTCTTTCTACCGATTCGTTGGTGGACTCGTATCGTACCTAGTACGCATCGCGATGAAAATCTTCATCCATATGTTCAGTTCTTGGAAACTTTATACCTTTCATTTGTTCACCTTATGAAATGGGTTGGACATGATGCAAATAATTATTGATAGGTTCTTCAATAAAATAATGATTAATGTGGGATCCTAACAAAACATTAATACCGACATGCACATCGATATTATTAGAAAAGGCTAGGTTTGTTGTTGTTTGGAGAGTTCTAATGGGGATGCGATAGACTAGATTTTATGTGTTTATGTCTTTCCCCTAATGCTATCGCTATTTTGGTCTTTTTTTTTTTTGATTCAAAATTTATTTAACGCCAAATTTGTTTTTAGCTAATAGCTTTCTAAATCAAGGCTATATACGGTAAATTCTTAAAACAAATTTGTATAACGATACCGTAATCCCGTATTACACGAGTTCATGTACCCAGTGTTGAAAAATTCGTTGGTCTTTTGCACAAAAAATTAACAATTACTGTGCAATATGCACAAAATATAAAATGACAATCCTGTATAAAAAATTTTTTTTGCATGTACCCTGGTACTGGTCTTAAATACAAAAGAAATTGTAACATAAATTTCCGAAAACTTTAAGTATGCTTCATTTTAACAAAACTGTATAGTAATTCTTGAGAAATTGGTTCAGTATGATTGAATTTTGGTTAAAGTACAGCTTAGAGTTAAGGTTAGATAAGAAATCATGAAAGGGTACGTGCGTACGTGCGTACGCATGTACTAAATCGAAATGTATAGTAACCTTAGAATTCTAAAAATCTCAACTTTTCAAACTCGCTTGAGAATGAAATGAATTACTTTTTAAAAAGGTTTCGGGAATATCGATATCGATATAGCGTTAGTGAATTTAGCATTTTGAAACATGCGATACTCCTGCACTCCTTGTATGTAAATCGTTATTATTAATAAAAATAAACAAGTTTAGACATTCGCTTTTCCATATTTTAATTTGCAATTCAAATGATATCTGATTACACACGGGCCCCAGCTTCTTATGTTTCTATAATTGAATTAAAAAGGATATATTTAGTTCTAACGCTAATCGCATTTTTTTTTTACTAAAACAAACCTAATTCGTGAAATAGTTTGGATTTTAAACCTCCGGTTCAATGAATGCCCCTAAGATTAATCTAAACTAATCTCAAGCTAAAACCCGTTTAATTAAGGGAAGTTTAAATTTTGATATTCAGTTTTTTATCACTTATCAGTTATTAAAATTTCATACGTACACGTTAAACTCGGTGTATATTCGGATCGAGATGTTAAAATAATCTCAGAATTAATGTTCAGATTTAATTTTGAATAACGATAAATTAATGACATTGTTTTGAAATAAATGATTTATACGTATAAACTCTATTTTTTCAAAAAAGTACTCCTACTTCATTTTTTGATTTCAAAATTTCCAAACCAGAAATCTCATAGGATTTCTTTACATGTGTAGGTACGTACGTACCTAAATCGTGACAAATGATACAGTACGTATTATTGAAACAATTGCAAAATGGGTTTCAATTTAGTTAAATGGCACAATAAATTTGAAACTAGTACGTACAGTACATACGTATTTAGATAAATAAAATTCACGTATTTTGGCGTTAGTTTACGTTAACAGTTAAATTCAATTATTATTGTTAAATTATAGGTTAATACAGTATACGTATGTATGTGAATGGCTTAAAATTGTATCAAATTACTTATTTTGACATTTATTTTGACTTATTTTGTACGTACGAATATCGTTATCGTATAAGAGTGCCTTTGATGCAGTTAAGCCGTTTGTATTACGGTATAGATTCACCTGATTTTAAATCATATAAGCAAGATACTAGCGCTAATCAAGCCCCTGACTGCAGTTAATGAATTTTCACTAGCATCAGTATCGGGTATCGGTATGCAAAAAAAATAATAATTGTAGTACATATCTAAATAATAATCTTAAAAATCTGCAAAGATGTTTAGACAATTATTAACTTCGGTTTACTCTAAAAGATTTCAACAATTTAAATGTGTAAAAACTTTACCTTTTCACATTTACCCAATAATTCCAATAAAAAATGATCAGAAACGTTTATATCAAATATCTAAAAAATCGAATTATGATAGTTCAAATATCATTTACACTGGACCGTTAGCTCAAACCGCAAAAAAATTGAAGACTTTTTCTATAATTTCTTTGGCCATTACCTTCGCTAGTACACCGATATTTTTTATGGTGGATACTGTTATGGTTACAAGTGCTCGAGCAATTATGGTATTATTTTGTAAGTAATAGTTTGAATTATAAAAATCTGAAATGTTAACTGTTAAATACGTACGTACATACATAATTTTTTTTTTTAAAAAAAACTGACGAAATTTATGCAGTGATATCGACAAGTGCCGCATCTACTGGTCTAATTCATTGGTGCGTTTCTCCTTATGTTGCAAGAATTTATTATAATTTATCTTCAAAAAATAATCATGAAAATGAAAAATCTGGACAAAAAGATTCAGTAACGCCCTTAATTACACCTGATTCTTTTTTAACTTTCGAAACACTTAACTTATTTGGAAAACCTCATTTTACAACCCTTCAAGTTAAATCACTTGAACCATCTACTAGAATTTTTACAAATTGGAAAGTTAAGAAACAATTCGAAAATAATATTTTTGGATTAACGAAGTCTGAAAAAAAAACAAATCCAAAACGTCTCTTTTATATACATCCTGAAATTCGCGAAAATAATTTGATGCTACAATTTTTTAATTCCTTAAATCACCAATCTTAATCAATATAAGTTATATATTGTTGTTTTTTTATTATTATTATTATTTGACTTTTTAAAAATAAAAAAAAGTGCCAATCAACAATCATTTTACAATCACCTGAGCAACTTTTCAAAAGGATGTTACACTAGCGGAAATTCCGCTCCATAAAGTATATCACATGATAAATGTTTCATTTATTTTTCATATTTCATATATTTCGAATTTCAAATTTCATTTGAATTCATTCTAAAGTTTTTTTCATTATGGATACTGAATATTGGAGAAAAGATGGTGAATATCCGTCATCATATATGCATATTAAACAAGAGCCGCAAGATTACCCTCAAGGTTCATTAAATTTTAATTTGATTATCTAAAAATTAATAAACTTGATCGTTAACTTTATTATATTATAGAAACTTCAACGCGAGCTTCAGAATTAGCTTCAAATTTTTTGTCTAACCTTTCTTTGACTCCAAAGATGGAATCTAACTATGTCAAACAAGAGCCTGAAACAACTCCTGACAAGGGTATGTGCTTTTTAACAAAGTTAAACTTTCTCCTATTTTTTTTCTTTATTTTTTATTAAATTTGTTGAAAGGAGGGAAAAAGTAGTAAAAGTACGATTCCTACAAAAAGAAAAAAAAAACAAACTGGATTTACTATATTTTATTCTTACACAAATATATCCCTTATTTATTCTCTTTTATCTGAACAATTTTTTGGGATAATAGTAACTAATGTTATGTTGTAATCGCTCTTTTTTTCCTTTTTTTTTTTTTCTCTTTTTATTGTGGTCGATTATCACGCTTAGTACGTTTAGTGGGTTCTCTTTCCTATGATAGTTCCAACAAGAGAAAAATCAAAGATGTTTTGGCATAATTGATCATTTTTTTGTTATTTTCTACTTACTTTTATCCGTGAATACGAAATGTTTTATTCTTTATTTTTTTATTTTATTTTATTTTTTCTTTTTTATATCCCCTTGTTTTTTTTTTGTTTTTTTTTTATTTTTAAGCAGCGCAGCTTAACTTCGATCCTGTTGCATATGTTTGCATGAAAGATTCCGGGCAGATTCGATCCATTTGGACCTTCTCTCACTCTCTTTTTTAGGTCATACTAATGAGACTCAAATCATAAAAATTATTTCTTCTTTTTATTGCTATGTATGACTTTTGTCATACTATCGCTTTATAGCTTTTCGTTCACACGACGAACATACTTCTCATCGTGATCGGTCGCGTGACAGAAATGAACGACATCGATCTGTAAAAGAAGAGGATGACCGTGATCGCCGCGAAAAAAAACGTGATAGAGAAAGATCTGATAAAGATAGGGATAGAGATAGAGATCGTGATAGGTCTGATCGTGATCGTGATAAAGATAAAGATCGTGATCGTGAAAGGCGAAGAGAAAGAGAACGTAGTCGTGATAGAAGTCGTCGTGAAAGAGAACGTGATGAAAAAGAAGATAGAGAGCGTAAAGCACGCCGTCCGAGAAAAAGGAGCCGTAGTCCTAGTAATAGGCGACGTAGTCGTAGTCCTAGGCATCATTCTCGCTCTCGTTCAATAACCCCTATCAATAGGAGAAGAAGAAAGTTAAATAATTGGGATTTACCGCCTCCAGGTTATGAGGGAATGACTGCTGAACAAGTTAAAGCTACAGGTTAGCTTTTTTTTTAAACCATTTATAATATTATAAGTATTATAAATATTATAAATAATGAATAATTATCTTTACATTAATTTATTATTTTTTTAAAAGGTCATTTTCCACTTCCTGGTCAACCTGCGACCACTAGACCTACTACCCTTCCTACTTCTCCACTTATAGCTGGTATGGATCCTTCCAGAGCTGCTGCTATGATGATGGGAATGACTCATGAACTCCCTCCTCGACCGAAAGTAAGTCAGGGTGCTGCTGGTCCCGTTGCACAGACTGCATCTCTTGCAAGGCAAGCGAGACGTCTTTATGTTGGAAATATTCCTTATGGCATAGATGAGGTATTATTATTATTATTATTTCTTTTTTTTACTTTTACTTCTTCATCATACTGTCTTTTTAACTTTAATCTCTTTATTCATACCTATATTAATATTTATATTAGAATGGCCTATCAGAATTCTTTAATTCAACAATGGTACAACTAAATATCACTACTGCACCAGGTCAGCCAGTTATAGCTGTTCAAATTAATCATGATAAAAATTATGCATTTGTAGAAGTAAGTTATTATTGAATTCTATAGTAATGTGAATACTATAAAATAATAATTTCATATTTTATATACTTATTTATACATACTATATACTTATTATATTTATTATATACTTAATTGTTTTTTTTTTTTTTTAGTTTCGTGCTCCCGAAGAAGCCACAGCAGCGATGGCTTTTGATGGAATTACATTTCAAGGTCAGTCTTTAAAGATTCGACGTCCAAAAGATTATCAACCACCCCCTGGCCAAAATCTCGAACCTCCACCAATTCATGTTCCTGGCGTCGTTTCAACTAATGTGCCTGATAGTCCGAATAAAATATTCATTGGCGGTTTGCCTACATATTTGAATGATGAACAAGTTATGGAACTTTTGAAATCTTTTGGTGAACTCAGAGCTTTTAATTTAGTTAAAGATAGTTTAACAGGTGTATCCAAGGTGATTGATTATTTATTTATAGAATTTAATTTCTATAAATAAATTTAAAGTTACAAACTTAACTTTTATTATCCTTCATTATTATTGTTTATTATGATCGTTTTATTAGGGATTTGCTTTTTGTGAATACGTTGATCCGAGTGTAACTGATTTAGCTTGTCAAGGTTTAAATAATATGGAATTGGGTGATCGCAAACTTGTAGTTCAACGTGCTAGTGTTGGATCAGCAAAGAATACAGGTGTAGCGAGTGTCCTACCTTCTTCTGTACTTATTCCTTCTGGTAATGGTGAAATGATTCCCACTACTGTTCTTCAATTACTTAATATGGTCACCCCTGAAGAATTAGTAGATGATGAAGAATATGAAGGTTTGTTAATATATCCTTTATTAAAATATTTTTTACTACATTAAAATTGATTTTAAATGTCTATCGTATAAATACTTTTAGATATCGTTGATGATGTTCGTGAAGAATGTTCCAAGTTCGGTCGTGTGCTGGATATGAAAATTCCCCGACCTGGTAGTGGGTCAATATCAGGGGTTGGCAAAGTATGCTTTTTAATATATGTTTTTTTTTTTATTATATCAATATTATATTGGTGGTTTTTTTGGAATTTCTTATTAATTTATGAAATTTTAGATTTTCGTACGTTTTGAATCTATAGAAGCTGCTGGTGCTGCACTTCGAGCGCTTGCTGGTCGAAAATTCGCCGAACGCACTGTTTTGACATCATATATAGATGAGGAAATGTATTATGCAGAAGACTTTTAATTAATACTAGTTCCACACGTCACTACATGTCTCATTTTAACAAAAAAAAAAAAAAAAAAAAATTCAAAAATGATAAAAAATCACATTGATACTATAGTGCGAGGTACCTTAGACCGGAAAAAAAATTTAAAATAATCTTTAAAAATTTTATTACAAAAAATTTTCAGGAAACAAACAAATTTTAATGTAAAAAAGATGCAAAAGAACAAAAAATATATATATGTTTGTTCATTGTTCAAGTTTTAACAAAATTGATTTTAAAAAATATTTTGTGGTTTAATTGACTGAAATTGAAAAGGGTAAAGTAAATTTAAATTTGCGGCTAAACTTTTTTTTCGATATCCATTTACTGGAATTAAGGTGACTAACTTTTAATCAAAAAATCAAATGCTTATAAACCAACCAGTCAAGTTATGCGCAAGAATTACCTTTTTATTATAATGACTAAACTTAATAAAATTTTATTATAATAATCTAATAAAAAGCCTGACTTGATTACTATAGCATGCTAGAAAATTATAACATTACAGTCACACGATTTGTCACGCAGATCACAGTTAAATTTTTTACTACGAAACTAGCCAGTATTTTTTTTTCTAGTACCACGTGTACTTATTTGATAGATTAGGCGTTAACTTATTGGTCAATTTTTTGACCAATCGCTAGTATTATATTGGTTACGTGGAAATCAAGTGTTACTTTATATCTGGGTAACTTATTTAATTTTTCGTTCGAAAGAACATTTATATTCACTGTATAAAAAATAATCGGAAGTAATTAGTAACCCGGGAACTTAGAAAACAAAGTATGCCTACCATTTATTGGAACATATTGTGGAGTGAAGGTAACATGAAACGTTTTTGTCTAAAGCTAATTTATTATGTTAGA